TACACTGATGATAATAGAAAGAGGCACTGCTTATAAAAGAGATATTCTCTGTTCCACATTCACACACAACATTTTATTTCATTAATCTTTTCCAAAAATTGAATATCATTATAAATGTTTATTCTCTCCAGCATACTATGTAGTGAATAGTAACTTCGTTATTCCGTTTCTAATTCCTCGCAATAAGCATTTTAGACCCAACTCCCGATATTCGGTATTTTGATGGTTGTAGGATTTTCTGAAAATCCTCACAAGTTGTTCCTTCTGAGAAGTTTGCCCCACGGAAGAGAATGGTCTATATTGGTCCACGATACCGTTTATTCCCCATATAACGGTATCCCCGATATTCGGTATTTTGATGATTGTAGCTAAATTTTTCAATGGAATTGTCTGAAAATCCTCACAAAGAGTTCCTTCTGAGAAGGTTGCCCCCGGGAAAAGAATTATCTATATTGGTCCACGATATCGTATATCTCCTCCCAATATTCGGTATTTTAATGATTGTAGCTAAATTTTTCAATGGAATTGTCTGAAAATCCTCACAAAGAGTTCCTTCTGAGAAGTTTGCCCCCGAGAAAAGAATCTATATCTATAAAAAGGAAAATGTTTGTATGTTTGTTTGTTTGTTTGTAATTTATGGACTCGAAAACCGCTGAATAGATTTTCCTGAAAATGTCCATATATACTGCAACATCGCCTGAAAGTAACATAGGCTATATACATTTTTGAATTTCCACTTGGAACTGAATTTCCACTTGGAACTTTATATGCACATATCTATTGATTGGTTGAAGACACAGTCTCCAAATTTGGAATACGTAACGGAATTTGGAACAAAAATAAGTTTGCCAAATTATATTGTAATCGGTTCAGATTTGGATATAGCTCCCATATATATTTTCGACCGATTTCGTTCATTTGATGCCTCAAACACAATATGAATGTACGATTTCAATGAAATTTGGAATGTGTGACGGGATTTAATCCGAAAATAAATTTGTCAAATTATATTGAAATCGGTTCAGATTTGGATATAGCTCCCATATACATTTTCGGCCGATTTCATGTATTTGGTGGACCAAACACGACATGTATTTCCAATTGTAATGAAATTTAAAATAAGTAACGGAATTGGGAGCCAAAATGAATTTGTCAAATTAAATTGAAATCGGTTCAGATTTGGATATAGCTCCCATATATATTTTCGACCGATTTCATGTATTTGATGCACCATACACGATATGTATTTCCGATTCCAACGAAATTCGGCATGAGTGGCTAAATTTGGTACAAAAATAAATTTGACAAATTATATTCAAATACGCTCAGATGTGATTATAGCTCCCAAATATATACTCAGCCGATTTCACATATTTGATGCACCCAAAGCGAGGGAGACAAAATCTGGCACCAGCAAAAATTGCCAAATTATATTGAAATCAGTTGAGGTTTGGATATAGCTAACATATATATTTCGGCCGATTTCATACATATTATGCACCAAACACGATATATATGACCGATTCCAATGAAATTCAGGATGTGTGGCGGAATTTGGTTATGATAATAAATGTGATAAATTAATTGGAAATTAGTTAAGATTTGGATATAGCTCCCATATATATATATATATATATATATATATATATATATATATATATACATATATATATATATATATTCTCGGCCGATTTCACATATTTGACGCACCAATTTCAATGAATTATGAAAGGTGTGGCGGAGTTTGGTGTAAAAGTATTTTTTTTTAAATTATATTTAAATCGGATCAGATTGGGATATGATTTTAATAAGAACCATTGACCCACAACGCCTTAGGCTAACACTAAAAAACAACACAACAATTTATTTGAAATACGCTTATTACGGCAAAGTATGTTGCTATCTCGAATTCACTAATTGCAATAGAAATGCCACTCTACTTAAAAAAATTGCAGTTTCCTGCACGCTTGGTATTTGCTATGAAATAAATAAATCCAAAGGACAAACCCTTCGTGTATGCATGTCATGTTACTGCTTTTGTAACGATTTTGTTTATTAACGCATTAAATTAGTGCAATATTTTTTTTCTAATTTTTAAATTTGTTTTTCTTTATCCAACATATATTCGTAAATAAAATTTTGAATGCATATAAAATCAAAAGGGGTAGCGAAGCGCACCGGGTTCAGCTAGTTATCTATATTGGTCCACGATATCGTATATCCCCATAAGCTATGATTAATGATTTAAGCTACATTTTTCAATGGAATTGGCTGAAAACCCTCACAAGGAATGTTCGATTTAGGTTCACTAATTGGAATAGCGCCCATATAACGATACCTCCCGATTTTCGGATTTTGTCATTTTGTCACAATTTCCAACCAAATAAGATGAAATTGGACAATTGGGGTTCTCGGTAATTCAGTTTTTTCCTTGCATAAAATGTTCGATTCAGGTCCACTAATTGGAAAGGCTCTTATATAACGAGTTTTAAAGCTGTTTACAGCAGCTGTTTTACGTCTTGGTATTAAAAATACTCAATACACTGAGCAACAAAAAATAATTACTGGAAATCCAGCAGATTATGAAAATAGAGTTAAATTTTAAATACACGTAGTTTTGGAGTTTTGAAGGCGTGCATCGCAAAGTAACTAAAATGGAGGGGAAAAGTTCCCCCTCTTTCATACTTTTCAAAATTTTCGGATTGGGGACTATTACAGATAACAATTCGAAGAATATTTGTGTAACATTTAACCCTAAAGCGAGTCAAGGAAGGGGTCTTTTTGGTCCTTTTTTAAATATAGTGAAAAACTGCATTTAAACGGGATGGTAATGAGTGAACATATTCTACAGAATTCTTTACAATAAAATTCTAGAAGACGTCCTGAGTCTAAAATCTAAATTTTACCTAAACGCCAGAAATTCATATATATTAAAAACTCATTTTAGGTATAAAGCTGTACTTTGTGTGAGTTCGGGCAAAAATCTCCAACGAAGCATCATTTATGAAGCATGACAAAGACGAAAATATTTGTAACATACCTAAATATTCGTCATAGACCCGATGCCAGTGTGTCCGCCCATATAACGATACCTCCGAATATTCAGTATTTTGATTATTTTTATTCATAATTTGTTGTTCATAATGAGTTCTAACTCAGGAGGCAGATCATTTAAAATGTAGGTCCAGATTTTCCTATTGCGCACATATAACGATTCCCAAAGATACTCGGTATTTTGATAATCTTAGTCATATTACCCACGAAATTGTTTCAAATTTGTTATTTAAGAAGATTTGGTAGATGATAATCCTTGAAGTATAAAATGTCTATGGAGGTTCTCGTCTTGGTATGGCCCCCATACAACGGTATCACCCACTTTATGGTTCAAACGGTCTTACTGGTATTTGTAATTTAAAGTGGAACACGTTTGAATTCTATGTCAAAATCTCACTTTACATTTTTTGGATAAAGTGTCACAAAAAAAAAAAAACAATTTAAAAAGCTTTAAGTTCGGCCGGGCCGAATTAGGAAATTTTCAAAAAAAAAATCCATTAAATATTCTGTTAAAATCTTAAAAATACCGAATATCTAAAGGTCCCGATATATGGGGAATATACGATATTGTGGACCTATTTAGACAAATCTATTTCTGGGGGCAAAGTACTCACAAATAACTCCTTGTGCAGAATGCAGACAATTATATGGGGGCTATACGACATCGTGGACCTATATAGACCATTCTCTTTCAGGGGGTAAAGTACTCACATGGAACTTGTTGTGTGGATTTTAAGATAACTCCATTGAAAAATGTGTCTAAAATCATCAAAATACCGAATATCAGGGGTACTGTTATATGGGGCTATACGATATCGTGTAAAGTAGTCACAAGGAACCTCTTGTGTAGAATTTCAGTCAATTCCGTTGGAAAATGTGGCTAAATCATACAAATACCGAATATCTGGATATATCGTTATATGGGGGATATACCTATAGACCTATATAGATAATTCGCTGTCAGGGGGTAAAGTACTCCCAAAGAACTCATTGTATGTAATTTCAGATAATTCCGTTGAAAAATGTGGCTAAAATCATCAAAATGCCGAATATCGGGGGGTAGCGTTATATGGAGGCTATACGATATCCTGGGCCTCCTCCTTATCGTCGACCTAAATAGATAATTCTCTTCCGAGGTATAAAGTACCCACAAGGAACTCCTTGTGTGGATTTTCAGACAATTCCGTTGAAAAATGTGATTAAAATCATCAAAATACCGAATATCGGGGGGTACCGTTATATGGGGGCTATACGATATCATGTACCGATATAGCCCATCTTCGAACTTGACCTGCCTGCAGACAAAAAAGAGATCTGTGCAAAATTTTAGCTTCCTATCTTAATTCGTTTTGACTGTAGCGTTATTACAACAGGCGGACAGGGCTAGAGAATTTTACGCTGATCAAGAATATATATACTTTGTTGGGTCTAAAATTATTATTTCGATGAGTTACAAACGGAATGACGAACTTAATACACCCTCCATACTATGTATGGTGGAGAGTATAAAAAATGTCACATCGAATGTTTATTATGTTTGTGCTGTTGTTGCTATCGGTTTCCTTTTATGTACCTTAATAAATTTCTCCCATTGTAACTCGGTCCTCAGTTGTCACCCCCCAACAAGTTCCCCTTACAACATTTCTTTTAAAAACAAATATTAAAAAAATAATAATTTAATACATAATAACAATAATTTTACTCAACAAAAGTAATAATGTGTTGTTGAAAACACTTATTCACTAACACTTAAGCATTCCGGCTGATATCAGTCTCACACACAGGCACACAAACTCACATGGTAGCACTTCCTATGCTGCATATTTAGCTACTGTTGCGCCACATTTCAGATAAGTTTTATCCGTTTTCATTCGGATTCTAGCAATGAAACAACAACAGCAACAAAAAGCAGAACCATTGACGACAATTTAATCTGCGGTGGAGAACGAACGGACAACAATGATTCTGTTAGTTTCCAAAACAGACCAGAACGCCACGCCACGCAACAGCTTATCCAATAAAATTCGGAAGAGTACGAAAACATTACAAGACGGAATAGAACGGAGCGAGAAAGTTGTTTTCGTTTTAAATTCAATGTTTCATTATTCATTTCATTATTCTTTTTGTTATTTAAATAACACGTAACCGGAAGTGTCTCGAATAAAAATAAAAACATCTGTTATGATCCGCACGGAATATCGCCTTGTTGTTATGGCCCTGCTCATAGCCATCTTTTGTTTTGATCTCTGTTATCCATGGATGAATTTCAACAGTTACACATCAAGGAAACGTACCGATTTAAAGAAACGTTGTCCTAATGTAAGTTTGTGTTAGTTTCAAGTGAAATTTCATCGACCGTTTCACTTAAAAAAAAGAATACCGAACAAAAATTCCCTTCAATATATTCAAAAATAATAAAAGTAGAGCATAAATACAAATTTTAAAAAGTTAAAAATTTTTATTCAACTAAATTTGTCAGTGATTTATATATATTTTAAACAAATTAAACTAAAATTTTGGATTTCTCTGCCGCTGTGTAATTTGAACGATTAGTTTTTATACCCTACAACACTATGTGTTGGGGGTATTATAAGTTTGATTGGCCAAAAAATTATGTAACACCTCGAAATATTGGTTTCCCACATAGGAAAGTATATATGGATCTTCCTAGCTCGCCGAGCTGAGTCGATCTAGCTATGTATGTCCGTCCGTCCGTCCGTCCGTCTGTCCGTCTGTCCATGTTAATTTGTAATCACTCTACAGGTCGCAATTATGGCCCGATCTTCACGAAATTTAGAATGGAGGTGGGACTGGGGTCAGAATAGAACCCTATTTCTTTTGGAGATGATCGCCAAATGTTTAGGGGTTGAAATGGACCAAATACTGAAAAAATGTCGGATTTTGCAGTAGCTATACAGGTCGCAATTATAAACCAATCGACGCGGAATTTCGCATGTAGCTAGAGTTTAGGGCGGGGAAGAAGCCTACCAATTTGGGTGGTCATCGGATAATATTTAGCGGGTAAAATAGACCATATCTTTTGTGTTGAAAAAATTCAAAATTTTTCATTAAACCGCGAATATTTTAAATCCCGGCGAAATCACAAAGCCATGACAAGGTTACTTCTGATCTTTACATTGATGTTAACATCCAACAAAACGGATATATAGCAAAATATGTGCGATATATATGTTTATCAAAGAAGATATGCTTGAAAAATCTCTTATATGTCGAGAACGGCTGAACTGATTTCGACAGTTCTCATTAATTCAGAATGGCCTCTTGGCAGGAAACATAAAACGTCAAAAAAATCGCATAAAAATATCTCTCTAAAGATGAAAATATTGATTTTGTAAAATTTTCTCATATTTTTTCAATTTTGTTATATTTTTGGCATATTTTCATTTTGAATTAAACATTTGACAATATTTCTACAGCTAACAAAACTAAGTAGTTAGGATATCAGGATATCATATACAGATCGCATTTATGGCTCGATCCTTACGAAATTTTCCATGGAGATAAGATGAGGGTCAGAATAGAAGCCTACTCTTTTTGGAGATGATCGCCATATATTTAGGGGTTGAAATGGACCAAAAAACTGCAAAATTGTCGGCAGGTCGTAATTATCGTCCGATCCTCACGCACATTTGAATGGGGGTTACCGCACATTACAAAAGCCAAGAAGTTTCGGATGGCCATCAAAAAATAATCAATGTGTGAAATTGTTTGCCAACTTTTGTAGACTAAATACGAAAATGTCCATTCCAGTGACTTTTTGGAGAATTCACAAATACAGGAAAGACGCACTTCTGACTATTTCGTTAACGCTGATTTCGTTGAAGAATATAGTCAAATGTCTGTATCTCATCTAGATGCGTTTCAGTCAAAAACCAATAATAAATGTTAATCTTTTGCCACTTCTGAGAGATTATAGGTCTTTGGGAAATATTGGTTCCAGATCTAGGAAGACCATTTACGTGCAACATCTACCAATAAATTGGAAATGAGCAAATTAGTTTAAGTTGCTATTATTTGAAAATTAGAGAACGAAACCTGATGGTTTTCTTTTATTATTTGTCACAATATCTTCTGGAATCCTTTTGAGTATCTCGCCCATATAAACTGTATCGTTTATTATAGTGTTGTAGGGTATTCAACGGTCGGCCCCGCTCGACTGTAGCCTTTGCTTACTTGTTTTTATCTGTGAACGAAATAACAAAACAGCATATAACGAGTTAAAAAGTATCAGTCGGTTTTGCCGACAGATGTATACCCTCAGCCAATGTTCGACTACAAAAATATATTTTGACTTCTGTTATGATTATTCAAATGGTTAACCCTCCATGAAGTAGGTTCCGAAGGATTGGCCCAATAATGTTCATTTCGTATAGGACCTAAATAAGTTTGATACAAATATTACGACCACTATATTGGTTACCTCCTTCACTTTATATGAAATACATATACCGAGATCCATCAAATGGAAACGTACGTCCCGAAATTCACTCCATTTTGGCTGATATTAGCCATTATTTTCACAATAAACCTGAAATCAGATTAAAGATATATGGGATATATACAAATCTGAGCCGATCTCGATAAAATTTGTAAAAGGTATTTCCGAACTCTAAAAGATATCTGGTACCAAATATCATTATTGTGGGGTGAATATTATTATGAATGTGAGGGACTTAACATTTGGTGTGCTTGCTTCTAGACTGAATTCGGTCGGATGTGCCAAAATGCAGGGCATTTTGACTGATATTGGTCAATGCACAATCGGTGCACAATCAACCCGTCCGTCCGTCCGTCTGTCAATGTATTTTTGTGAACAAAATGCAGGTCGCGTCTATTATCCGATTGAAATAAATTTTTCTCAACAATATTTGTTTGGCCCAAGGACGAACCCTATTGAAATTGGAGTTGATCGGATCAGATTTAAATACAGCTCCTATATATCTCCAACGATTTTGGGTTAATTGTTCACCAAATGCCCAATACCTGTAAAAAGTCCTGAATTTCGGTGAATGTAACCGAATTTTGGGGACAATCGGTTTAGATATAGCTATAGCTCCCATATATATATGATTCATCCGATTTGGTGTTTTAGTCCCTCACATTCGTAATATGCATTCGACAACAATGATATTTGGTAACAGCTCGGAAACACCTCTCATATACAGGGTGAGATAAAAAAAAACTCCAACAATGTCAAACGCCATAATTTTTACATTTTTTTTTAATTTTATTGAATGAAAGTAAAAAATTTCAGATATAGCATCAAATTTTAGAATAAGTTTAGATTTCTTCGAATTGGTCACCTTTGGCACGAATTATGGCTCTACGGTATTTTGGCCCATTCCCGGCGAAGCGCTTGCTTTGGTATTTTTTAGTGCCAACCTTGCTTTTCAAAATACTCCAGACACAATAGTCCAACGGATTGGTATGCGAAGATTTTGGTTGACATTGTGCACTGGAAATGAAGCGAGGAACCTCATTGTGTAACTATTCTTGTGCGGCGCGTGCTGAGTGCTATGTTGCTGAGTTCTCTTGGAATGTCCAAGGTTTGCGGCCAAAATATTTGCGTGTCCAAGAATTTAATACACCTTCCAGAATATTTTCACGATAATATTCGGCATTTATTCTGATGTCACGGAGAGCGACCATCGGCTGTTATGGCGGCCCACACCGTCACCATGGGCGGCGCTTGAATTCTGGTGGCCAACCGAAGGTGCACATTTTCAGCCGACCTCTTTGGCAAGTAAATACGATCATTTTGTTTGTTTACAAACTGCTGGACAACGAATGTTTTCTCATCGGAGAAAACCAAATTCGGCAGTTCACCACTTTCGACCAAGCGGAGCAATCTTTAACTTTTTTGAGTCTATTTTCTTTCTGATGCGGTGGAAGTTCTTGCACTTTTTGAAATTTCAATGGCTTTACACCGAGCTCATTTTTCAATATTTGCCGAATGGAATATTTCGATATATTAAGCTTACGAGTCATTTTTCGACCACTGCGATGCGGGTTTCGTCAAGTCGCTTCTTTACTTTTCGAACCATTTCTGCTGATGTTGCTGTTTTCTTCCGTCCACTGCCTTGACGTCGGGCTACGATGGTACAAGACACAAAAGATTTATTCACATTTAAATGCTAGAGTGCTCTAACGATAGCCACTTGTGGTTTTCCCGCCAAATATAAAGAAATCACACTATCACGCTTAAGTTCCATCACGAATAACTTTTTTTCTGGAAAATTCTCACCAAAATGCTTTTGTACGCTTGTAAACAATATAATATTCTGTCACTGGAATAATTTTAACAGCTGTCGGAAGAGTGGCTTAGAAATGACAGCAGTCTGAAGTGGGTTGCAGTTTTTTCATCTCACCCTGTATATCCTTAATCCGATTTCAGGTTTATTGTGCAAATAATGGCTAATATCAGCCCAAATAGAGTGAATTTCGGGAAGTACGTTTTCATTTTGTGAAACTCGGCTCCGATATATATTTTTCAATACAATCCTTCTCGAAGTGATATCATGCACTCTATAGCAATGTTATTTGATATAAAAAGATTAAAATGTCTCCGTCAAATTTAATGAAAATCGATTTATGATGAAATATATCGGTGGTATAGCCCTCATATAACGGAACGTCCCCAAATGTTGATGGCTTTGAACACGTTTTATACAAGGATTTGTCTAAAAATTGTTCTTTTAAGTTCGTAACAGGTGACGAAACATTGTTTATATAAGTTTACGTTTTCATATAGCCCCCCATATAACGGTACCTCCCGAAATTCGGTATTTTAATGGCTTTAACCACATTTTTTCATGAATTTCTATAAAAATTGGTATTTTTTCGTAATGGATTTTAGCTCCGGTGGCGGAATATTGCATGTATAGCTCCACATTTTCATATAGCCCCCATATTCGATATTTCGGTGCCTCCCGATATTTCGATGATCTTAGTCAAATTTCCCCCCGGAATTGTTTTAATTTTTTCAATTTAGGTCCCTATTTTGGTGTGGCCCCCATGAAACGGCTCCACCTATTTTATTATCCGATCTCCAACCGATCACACTTGTATTTGCAGTTTAAAGTGGAATATGTCTTAATTCAGGTACTTTTAAATAAGAATGTATAAATAAGAATGTTTCATTAGTTAATGGTGGAGGTATTAAAAGTTCGACCCGCCCGGTTAAGTTTTCACATTTCTTTTGTTCAGAAACTTATAGTATAATTTAGTCTAGAATTTTTCCCCCTTTGACACTCTCCAAATAAAAATTGAGTATTATAGTAGATTTCGGCTTAGAATGA